TCCAAAAGACAGGTGTTACCCATAGAACTAGCTGTTTCACAGTAATTTGTCCTTGCTGTCAAAAGGCAACATGTCAAATAAATTCCATCAATTTCTGCAGCTAGAAGTGATTAACGTAAGGTGTATGAGCAGAAGTCATGGGTAAAAGAGTGTATCTCCAATTCCATTTTTCTTTTTTTGGCCATATTTTCCATGAGGATTAGACATACAACCTGGAGATACAGAAGAACAAGCCAGGGCTCCAAGTGATGTCACACTCCACAACTGTCCCACAATTTTGACCCATGTGGAACTCAGAAATACTTTGCCTGATGGCCACTAAGGTAGAAAGAAGCAGAGCTAGAATAAAACCCAGGTCCAAGCTTAGTACTCTCTCCAGCATGCTGTAGTAGATTCTGAGTGTGTAGGTCCTCACTGCTTCTCTTTCCATATGCCCATGGTGACTTCTCACAGTTGATTCTGTCACCAGCCACTCAACTCTACAAAGGCTAAAAATACTTCTATGAGATCTATGTGTACATACCTTGTTTGCGACTGCCTTTCACCTCCCGAAGCACTAAAACTTCTTTTTAAAATGCCTGCAACAAGAATTTAAAAATAACTACATGATTTCCTCCACAAATATTATTTTAAATGCTATACTTCTGTTATCATGAAAGCCTCAGCTAAAATATAATGTTACAAATTACTATTTGCTTGACAGCCTTGTTCAAGGCCTTGCTTTCAAAGAAAAGATACTAAACAAACAAAAATAACTTGTTACTAGTCCTTAACAAAATAGTCTTCCTAAAACTGTTCCAAGATGGCTACAAGCTACTACAGGTGAAGTTTCAGATCTAGTCTTTCCTGCCCACTTTCATGCCACCACTCCCCACTACTTTTACGAGGGTAAACAACATTGAACTTGCCACAAAACAGTAACAACCTGTTCCTAGAACTTGTTAGATGTGTCTATGTGCCAGAAAAGCTTTTCCTATATTATATTCATGTTTTCTCAGCTGCAAATCAAACCATTTTATCAAGCAGGCAGAAATTTACAGGGAAACTAGGACAGGGACTTGGAATTTGTGATTGACCTAGAAAATCTGGAAGATCTAGTTACCATTTGGATGTACCAATTAAGTTTTGTTTCTCTTTGCTTGCCTTTTTGAGACAAGGTCTCACTATGTAGTTCAAGCTGGCCTTGAACTCACTTCATAGCCCAGGCAGGCTTCAAACTCAAAGTGACCCTTCTGCCTCAGCCTCCTGAGTGCTGGGATTACAAGCATATGCTACCACACCCAACTATCTAAGTTTTCAAAAGACAAACAATGTAGCTAACTTCTTAGTATTCTATTTTGTTCTGTAGACTACTTTAAATCTTCTCTTTTGAGATATTTTTTCATGATTTCCTAAGAGAAAGAATTTATACTTAATTTATTCTTAGAGTATTTCTAAGTATGTTTCATACTCTATCAATTGTCAAAGATTTTTTTCATCTACTTTCTATTAGGGAATCTTTCAATTTCAGGACTGTTGAGTATATCTGATCCTATCTTTCCTTATAATTTTTCAATACTATCTAAATATATTTTTCCTCTTCTTTCATATTCCTTAGTATAATTACTTTCTTGTTTCAAATTAAGACTAACATAAACCTGAAGTTATGCATCATATTTTTCAAAGTAGTAAGATATTCCCATATTTCTACTTTAGTGTTCTTAAATATAATACATCCCGCTACATTAATATAACTAAAATTGCACAAAAGTTGTCTATCCCAAACATAGTTTCTTCAGTGCACTTCTAACTCTTCTAACCAATGCAGTCTTAAAGGATCATTGCTATCATTTGTGTGGCTATTCCGCTGTCTCCAAATCAGTTATCTCAAGTTCTCCACAAGAGCTTCATTTGCTCTTAGGAATAAGAAAACTATCTGACAGCTGAGGGACTGTAAAGCCATGGTGTCAGCTAGCCTCTGAGCTCTGAGGAGGCACAGACACGCCCACCCCAACCAGCACCGAACCTAGACAAGAGTCCAACTCCAGGAGAGGCATACAGCATGACTCCACACCACGACCTACTAGGATCCCACAACCCGTAAAGAACTCGTGAAGAAAGCTTACTGAATGTAGAGTCTTTCAAAGGACTTGAGCTCAAGCTGCTGGAGTTATCCGAAATGTCCAATTCATCGTCTAGCTCTGAATAGATATCTGCACATCAATACAAGTAAAATAGCAAATGAACTTTGAAACAGAAAGGAGTCAAGAGCACATTCATGCTGATAGAACACCCTTGGCCGGCAGTACCTTTCTCGACAGTCTCCAGGTTGAAGCTGTCCTCGGACAGCATTTCGTCACAGGCCCTGTCTTCATCCTTCCCGCAGGGTCCCTGAAAGCCCTCAGGGGCCAGATCTGCACCTTCTGAGAGCTCACTTTTCAGGCTGGCTGCTCCACTGCTGTTGCTACTCAAGCTTACCTTCTCAAAGGTTTCCTGAAAATAGAAATTCATTGTTTAACATCTTCCTTTTTCCTCCCTTTGTAGTACTCAAAGCTTGCAAAAATCTATATTGATATGCTTCCAATACCATCACGAATATTTAATGCAGATGTAACCTGAGCAGTTCCACCTACCCACCTTAAGGGATCTACTCAGTCCAAAAATACAAGAAAATATGCACTATGGGACAAAAAAAGATGGGAGGTATAGAAGTGTTCATTTCCTGCACTGAAAATTCTGGAGAAAAAAATGTGCCTCTAAGGGACAGACTATCAATGTACCAGAAATTGCTCTCTTAAACTTTTTCTGAAATATTTACTATCAGATCCTCTAAGTACCATAGCAAATAAGTAAGCCTTCTTTTCTTTAAAGGAAAATGAGTAGCACACAAAACCAGATCATAGACAGTAAGGGATGAGGTTCCCTAAGGGATGAAGAGTTCCAATAAAGAAGCCTCTCATGACTGTCTCACACTCTGAAGATCTCAGCACAGGCTCCTCCAGTGGCCACCAAGGTGAATGGGACCATTTCCACCATGACGCCACACTTGCAGCAGCATCTGCCCATCAGAGTCCCTATTTCCCTAAACTATAAGATTCGAAACTATAAAAAAATACAGCTAAAGTTCAGTAAAAACAAAGAAAAAAGACTAAGGCAATTCAACTCTGGAAGCTCTAATTTTTCTTAGAAAATGGCATTGAAGAAGGAATGACACATGACTCAAGCAAAGCAGCCCTTGTTTCTTTGTCCAGAGAATTCTCAAGCCTCAGGCACTTACTACCTGAGGCTGATGGCAGTGAAGGTGAAGATTCTTTTTAGGCGGTAGGGCTAAGCAGTACTAAGGCACAAATCAGGAAGACAAAAGGCCAACATAAGGAAAGTCAAGAAAGAAGAAAGGATGGAGATTGAAGAGTGAGAAGAAAGCAAAGGCCATCCACTGAAGTAGGGAGAACTCTCATGAATTGTGTCACAGTGTTCAGTCTCAAACCAACCTCCTCTTCTTTACTGAAAGCCTCTGATAAGGAGCAACGCCAGCTTGGGAGGCAAACCACGTGACTATTTATTTTGTACATCAGATCTTTTCCCGACATAACAGTGACATTTCCTAAGAAGGTCACAGCGGTAAAATTCGCAGATGAAGAAAACCTAAACCCATACAGGTAAGTGGAGGCAGAAGTAAACCTATAAATGCTCCCACAGGTTCAAGCTCTAGAAACAAGATGAAAAATAAAAAGAGCATCAAAAACTTGCACTTTGCAAACTGTCCATTCAGCTGTTGCTCTTTATCTCTTTTCCCTGATAATCTCTTCGATGTGTCTTTCTTGAGATTTTTTTTAAACCACGTTTCTTGTTTTGTTGAAATTATAGGCAGCTGAAGGAATACTTTCACTTTAATTTTCTTTGAGTAATTCTTTGTCCAGTGTTCAAAGCCTCCTCTTATGTACGACCCATGCTGGTTCATTCCTGTGACTTGGGTCAGCTTCAGTCTGTTAACTTAGAACCCTAGATAGGAAATGACCTTGGTGCCCTTTGGCAGAGCTGAATACATGCTGCTCAGACATTTTCTCAGTATCTTAGGCTAATAAGGAATTTGTTAAAACCAGTCTCAGGTTTTCCCCCACTTGAGCTTCTTCTGGGCCTCAAAATCTCACTGAAAGCCCGCTCGTCCTCTTCTACGTCTGTGTCTTCCCACCGCATCAAGCCCAGAAAATTCTCCTTTGTGATTCTCAACTAATTTCATTAAAACTTAACCTAAAAATAAATATCCCACTGAGGTCTTTCTCTTCCTTACCAGCATTTTATTTTGACTTCTATTTTTTTATTATGTTTGTGTATGTACTTATTTATTTATTTATTTTGTATTTTAGGGACGCGTCTACAGGGTGTTCAGGGTCTCACTACTAGATCAGACTCTTAGTGACCCTCCTGTTTACAGTCTCCTAAGAGCTGGGACTACAGGTGCGTGCCACCACACCCAGTCTCAATTGCCATCTCAGCGTGCCCTGGGGGAGGGGGCTGGCATGGCCTGCCCAGGAATCGAAACCACGGCCCTGGCACCTGCTGGCAGGTGCTTTAATCTGCTGAGCTATTTGGCTGGCCCTGTTTATTTATTTTTGAGACAGGGTCTCACTATGCAGTTCAGTGAGCTGGCCTTGAGCTCTCTTTGTACCCCAGGCTGGTCTCAAACTCCCACCAATCCTCTTGTATCAGCCTCCTGAGTGCTGGGTTTACAGGCCCAACATTTTATTTTAAACAAGTCATTTACTTCCCTGTTCTAAACCATAACTGGCCTTACAACCCTTAAACACTACACATGCAAGATGGTCAAGGGTATCAATGTTGAAGTAAGATGACAGAACTTTCATGCTGAAAAACTTTTCATTGTATTGATGCAATTAGATGAGGGAATCCACATATCTCTAAAACTAGCAAAACTTTAGCAAAGGATTGTCTCTCTCAAGAATAGGCATGGAAGCTGGGTATGGGGGGCACACACCTGTTATTCCAGAAGCCCTGGAGTCAAAGATGGCAGGATTGAATGTCTGCGCCAGAGTGGATGATAGAACAAAAGCCAGATCTCAAGAGAGAAAAGGGGCAGAGAGATAGCTCAGTCACTTGAACACCTGCCTGACAAGTGCAAGGTCCTGAGTTCTATCCTTGCACAAAAAAAAAAA